TGTTACTAAGACCTTGGCACTCTATGTTACTAGGTGTTTTAAATTTACCAATTTGACATATTAATACTTGTACTTGATGTTGCCTTACTGCTACCTATATTGCAAAGAGTGCTATCCCTTATGCAAATCACGTAAGTGGAGACCAGAATATGCAAGTGAAAAAATTAGACCAAATCAACTTCAATGCGCCCATGTCAATGGCTATCTGTAGAGGTCTTAACCGTGGAAAACAGGGACGCCGTTCTTGAGATATGCTAACAGAAGCGCAAGCGCCACTTTGCCTTCGTCAGGACCTAGGTCTGGGTACGAATATCTAGTCTTGCCCTCTGAAGGAAGTGGATCGAGCTGATTCTCTAGGAAATATAAATGGCCTGGTGGTTTGGTATACAATCAAGATTCGGCTAAATTCAAAACTGAATCCACAGAGCAAAAGATGCGGGCTTGCCGCAGAATTTTGGATGCCAACGGGAATTGTGCGTGTGTTGTGGCTGAAGGCATAAAGGCAGCTAGATTAGTGCGATATCATTGACTAACCGGTGCAAAAAGGTCAGGCAGGCCAAGCATACTGATGCTGGTCCAACAACGGCCTGGGTTAGTGACAAGATGGCGAATCGTTGAAATTGGCAATTTAAAGGCATGAGTCAACATATCGGAAGAGATGGTCCACAGAGAGTGTGACTGCGATGATGAAAAATTCTGGAAAGTTCGCAGCATTGCCTATTTATTGCCTACAACAAAATTCTTGAATAATTTAGGGAAAATAGGCTGACGTACATGGGGATAAGGTGAGCACAAAACTACGGAAATCGAGGCCATAATGAAGATGTATAGGGAAGCTTTCGATGAGGCCGCGCAGATCTTGCTGTATGATGATGACTAATGTGAAAAATCCCCATTACCCCCAAATCGACCAAAGAATTCGAATCTGGAGGCAGGTTTACTAATTGAGATGATCTTGCAAAGTCATGGCAAAATTGGATAACGGACAAGACTCAATAAACGGAGGTAGTATGCTGGTACTGCATTTTTTGCGCTGCAGAAACAAGCTCGAGACAACGTTTTATTAGTTCAAAGTATAATCGCTCGTTTATTAATGCTTTTACTGGCGATTGGCTGATACAAGTGCTCAGCAAAGATAGAGGTAGTCGCTCGCCCGCCGTGTTTCTAACAACGCATGAAGTTGGAATGCAAGCACCAAGCATCTAACGGTATGCTTTCCAAACATTTCTATTTGATGTCAACTAAAATTGTATCGAAAATTCGTTTAGTTCATAATTTTGTTTTCATACCTTTTTGATTTGAACAAAGTTATTCCTGTTCCAGGCATCCATTTGCTCGACGCCATACACGGCAAGCCTTTGGGCGCTCCCCTGACCCACATGATCGACATCAACGACGTCGCCTTGAACCAGGCGGGTCCCGCCACAGAGCGCCAGCTGATATTCATCGACGCAAACCGCGCCCTGTACATAACGCCAGTGCTCAGGCGCTGTGTAGTTAAACTCTGCAGCATCGTGGACTCCGCGATGTGGCACGAAGGGGCCAACATGCTGGCGGCTGTCGTCAGCGAGAAGCTGGTGGGTCGACGCCGGCCTAAAATTTTAGGTGATGTAACCTTGTTCCGGGAAGTCTGTCTCCAAGAAGTTGTGCAAGAATCACCAATTTACAGCAGTATATTTTGCACCACACTTACCTTCAAGTGTTCCTTCACTGATTCAGCGAATGAAACATAGCGAAGGGAGTGATCCGCCATGTTCGTTGCTGTTTTACTTCTTTGATTCACTCCCCTCTTCTGCTCTTTCTGTGCTCAGCTGCTCCATGCGCTTATCTCCATGATCGATAGTTACCATTTGAAGTTAAATGACATATTAAAACTTTGAATATACATGCGAATATGACATATTTCAAACTTTGAATTTCAAAGTAAATAGAATGTGCAAAATTGCGACACAATTGTTGCATGCGAAATCAATCTGCGACATGTGCCCAGTCGTCCAAGTCTCTCATTCAGTGGGGTACGACGGCTTTGCAAGTTGTGATCACGTTATCATTTGTCATTATGTTTAATAATCAAGCACTTCACATTCTTGTGTAATTCATGTCGAAGTATACATATTTCGACCATTTATGGTTGTTTGTTTGTCTCAATTCTGACTGTTTTGCTCGATAATTGATGGAAAGCTTCACCAAGTGACTGGCCAGCTGTTCGTTGTAAATCGATAAATACTGAGTAGATATATGACTGACATTTTATTAAAAATTTTTAAATGATTGTGTCACAACGCTGTGCAGACCGTCTGGTACTACCCTAACGGCATCTTTGTAGACAAGGACGTACTACCGATGACGAAATTCGTCAAGAGCGACAGGTGAAAAGCGGTGCCAACATTGTATAAAATAGAATCAAAGGCAATTTTTCGATTTTACTTTTATTGGTCCATTTGATCCCAACTTTTAAAAAAATTGCGCAAATGCTGCAAAGTATTGAACATTACACCGTTTTACCTAATGAGAGTTCTAGCAACACCATCCGTACATTTGAGCACTTGTCGCAAATCAAGAATACAACACGCCAAAAATGTGTCGACGCAAATGGCGAATGCAATGGAGCGCATTCCGGGCACTTAAATTTGCGTCGTTTGCAAAGTCGCTTTCGAATACATGACGAATTTCCCGCCACGGTGTGCAACGCTTCCCTAATGAAAAATGCCCTGATGGCTACGATGACGTTGCCGATATGCCTCCGACAGCGGCTACGGGAAAGCCGCCATGATCGAATCCTTCCGCCTGTCGCATTGCTGCATTCAGAGGCACGATGGCACGGAGGTCTGCGCTGGCGTCTCTCCATACCCCCTGGTACTGTACCAACACGTCGGGAAGGGCCACTGGGACCGAGCAACGCGCCTGTGTCGATTCGTGAAAGTGAGTGGCTCGCTTGCGCAAATGCACTGCAGAAATATTGCATATAACTTCACCATTGATATGGCGATATTCTCTCCTCACTTTCTCTCAGGCTTGGCATTTACGCCGCAGACACAAATTTTATTTACATTTTACGCGGAAAAGTTCCCTTTACAATTTGGAGCATAAGATGCAGAGCAAATAAGCAAATATAACATAAACACAGCCCGTGCACGTTGTGCCTGTGTTGCGTTGTCAACCCGTAAACGACTATTCTTTGCGCTGGCCATGGGGCGCAAAGTAGTGAATGGGCAGTCCGCCAAGGACTTTAGGAACTGGAAATGCTTGCAAGCCACCTGATCATACTGCCAGCAAGTCGTGAACGGCGGTGGGTATCGAGGATGCTGCCATCCCACTGACACCGCCGGCTCTGGCGCGGCAACATGCACTGCCGAAGCGCCCCAGGAGTTGAGGCAGGAGTTTTCACGCCATCATGCGGTGCGCAAGAAGAGACAAGAGAAAGCAAGAGGCGCTCCAGTACCGGAAGCCTGTTAATCACAAAGGCGCAGACTGTGTGCACAGAGCTGGCCATGGGTGGCAGCAGCTTGATGCCCGCACACCAGTAGGAAGCAGCATGTTTGCGATTCCAAGTGCGACGCCATTTGACACAAATTGATGCCATCACAGCCACTTTTATGCCATCGCAATCACTGTGACGGCATCAATTTGCGTCAAATTAGCATCGCAGCTGGCATCCCAGACATGCAGTTTTCTACCGGTGGCAGCCAGACGCCACCCAGCCGTGGCGGCCCCGGACCTCGTGCCGGGCACCACTTCAGGCACCGTCGGGTGATGATCGGGCTGGCGATGACCCGCTAAGCGCTGAAATCTAAATCCCGTGAAAAATGACAGCAAGGCCTTTCCGACGAGGTTGTGCACCAGGTTCTAGTTTCAAGGGGATTTCAGGGTTTCCCTTTGTGTGCGGGATGCACGTTGTGTGACTGTGGTCATTTGAGTGCTAAGCTCATGTTTCGCAGCAGTAAACAGAGTCCCTTTGAGCGCCGAACTCAAAGTCTGTGGTAAAGCAGTAAACAAGTCTGTCCACCAAATGGAAGAAACCAACGCAGGAGCACAACTCATGCCGAAAGTGTATACACAAGCCCCTGCTCATTTGTGCACCGGCAGCGTACAAGCGTCTGATCATTGTGCGTTGCCCTGGTACAAACACTTTTTGTCATTGCTGTATTGTTTCTCTTGCTTTCGGCTTCTTATGTTTTTTTTCTGTTTCTTTTCCTATACTTGCAGGTGCTGCGCATATAAAACTCTTCTGTCATTGCTGTGCACAGCTTACTCCCCTCACTTGGGTTTTCCCGCTTTTGCGACAAATTGCTTCACACACTATTTCTCGCTTTTGGCATTTTCTACCAACCTCCTTTGTGCTTCATTTGCTCATTTTGTTAACAAATGAAACCTCTTTATGGCCTTGATTAGGTGCCTTATGCTGCAAATGCATATTTTATATTTTATGTTCACATTTTCAAGGACATTTTTTGTGCGCGTGATCTCGTTTCCGCTGCTCCTCACTTTCATTTTTGCACGGGAGTCAGCTTGAAGCCTAAGCACAGTATGGAGACTGAAGAGTGCCATCCAGAATCGCTGGAGTAGAGAACGATATATTTTTGACATCGTTTCCCTTTCTGAGGGAGATATGGACTTTGTGTTGCAGTTGCTGGAGATGGCGGAAGACTGGTCATTGTACGCGAAGTGCATTGTGTAATCCGGGTGAACCAACAAACCGCAAAAAATAGACCCTTCTCAAATTTACGTTTTTGTATGTGAAAACCTAAACGCGAATACCAAGTCTGCTTTTTCCGTTCCCGAGTCGCCCAATTCCCCGAAATGTGACCACGTTCACCAAATTTCCCCGACCGCTTACCACGCCCACCCCACACCACGCGCGCCCACACATCACCACCATCATCACTACCATTACACAACCGAGTATCGCGCACACTTGCTGAGGAGCGGGGCGGCATTGGCATGAGATGTTTAGCTTTTGAAGTGTGACCAATCTTGTCCTCCAATTCCAACCTTGCCAGGACCCCTGCATGTGGGCCTGCCTGGCGCTCATGGCCATGGAGGCAGCCGAGCTTAACACCGCGGAGGTCGCCTTCGCTGCAATCGGCGAGGTGGACAGGCTGCAGTTCGTGCTGCACGTCAAAGACATACCCACGGAGGAGGGGCGCAGCGCGGAGCTGGCACTGTACAAGCGGCGGCCGCTGGAGGCGGAGGCCATACTGCTGCAGGTGGAAATCCAGACGCAAAATTCAGTGCAAGTGAAAAACACACGCAGTTCAGGAAAATGCACTGTGACACACTTCGCGGCATTTCTTATGGGTTGTGTTTGTTTGGTTTTTAAGCATTGTTTGTATATGCACAGCGTTTTTTGGTTCAAATTTTTGCTTTAGAGTATATTTGAACAGTATTCATGGTTCAGCGCTCTACAATCTTGCCCTGTGCCACATATTTACTGAAAAGTTGCTCAACAGCAGAGGCGGCTGACATGCCACTTGAGAGAGCCTGGTAAGCATAAGCGCTGCAAAGTACTGAGGGTCGTACCAAAGTCCTGCAGAACGTAGTGAGGCGGTCACGTCAACAACGGCGTCACTGAGCAATGGACGTTTCGTCTTTGCCGTTGGATTTCGGAATTTCTATGTGGCGTCCGCTGGCGCCACTATCACAGCAGGAATTTCAAAACATTAGTTCGCAATTCAAATACGAAATAAAGATGATTGGACATGACGTGGGAATGAAAATCTCCGCTGCGTCAATGGTATGAGTCACTGGCACGGATACAGCATAAGGTTTTGGACAATTGGACTCTAAATGGCGATGCGGAGTCACAGTTTCTTGTACAACTTAATCGCCACTCCATTCAGGCTCACTCTATTTTTGTTGCAACATTTTCAAAAAACACCAAACGCCAACTGCTCAGCTCCAATGAAGCTGATGAAGCACGGCGGTAGGATTTGCACTCAAGCAGCTAGATTGGTTGTGGACATGGGCTTGATGACCTGGCCCTTGTTTTTTTCCGACGCGAGAAAGATACACCGAAGGCGCAAAATGCGAAGGCTCTGCAACTTCGCGCACATCCTAAAGGACGCCCATGCCCATGCCCATGCCCATGCCCATGCCCATGCCCATGCCCATGCCCATGCCCATGCCCATTCCCATGCCCATGCCCATGCCCATTCGACAAGTAAACTCACAACGCGGTCATATTCGCCCGAATTCGTTTCCATCAACCGCACGCATCATTGCAGCAAAAAATTTCTCGACGGTGCATCATAAAGCACCAACCCATTTACAAATACTTCCATAAGGATTTCCCCGAAACAGCTTTTGCTGCGCTCTCACTCCGCTCCATTTGTGCAGGCCGGTCTCATCTACCGCGCCATCAAGCTTCACATCAAGCTCTTTAACTGGGAGCGCGCCCTGCAACTGGCCCTGGACCAGAAGGCCCACCTGCACACAGTACTTTGGTATCGCAGGCGCCATTTGGCGTCCATTGGCCAGCAGGAAACCTCCCCGCTTTTTTTGCAGCACGAGGCGGTTGAGCTACCTTCAGATAAGGAGATCAGGGAGGTGGTCGAGGCGGAGAAAGCCAAGGAGGCGGCCAGACCAGGAGCCAGGCCCTACGCGTGAGGAGAAGTACTGTGGCAATGCGCGATGCTCATGTAGTGTTGGGATGTACTGTGAGCATGGACTGTGTGCATGCTGCGTGGGAATGTAGTGTGTGCATGTAGTGCGGGAGTGCACTGGGCGCGAGTACTGTGGGGATGCACTGCGTGTTTGTGTAGCCTTGGGCAGGGCCGCACTTGATCAAAAGGCTGCCGAGGAGAGAGATTTGGGTTTTTTGGTTCTGCGAGGGTAGCGCTGTCCGGCGATGAGGCGCGGCTCCGTGTTTTAGTGAGAGCTTACACGCGATCCTTCATAATGTACAGGCAATTTTAGTTGACAGGTTTAATTTAGGCTTCAGAGCATGGGGATAATTTACAGAAGCTTGTATATAAGGTTGCTGCTGGGAGACGCGGGCGTGTCGCAAGCTTAGACGCCGTGTAAATTGCACGCGAAGCGAAAGGATTGAGGGTGCATTCACTAGGAAAAAGGGCCAAGTATGTTTAAACGTGTACAAAGTTTGCGGGCTTGGGTTACTTCCGTGTTTTCAGCATGCCGAACACTAGCGAAATGCATATATATGTGTTCGACAAATGTGTTATTTTGCCCTTTTTGTGCTACGATACTGTGTAATGGTTATCTGTGCTTGGGGAATCGGTTGCTGGACAGCATTGCAGCGCTTTTCGCAGACGCTTCCTAATCAGAGACATCCTGGAATCTGGAAATGGTGCGGGGAAACTTACCTCAGGAAAATGTCATCCAATTCATAACAAAACGGCCGTACTAAGGGGGGTGAGGCCATGTACAGTCGCGTTGAATCGCGTAAGAAATGCGCAAAAATTCAGGCGAAAATGCAGTCAACCTGGTGGCCATTTATGAGCGGTTTTCAATGCATGGGTGTCTCGCGAGAACCGCGGGGTGGTCTTGGTGGGTAAGTGGGTCGGTGTGTGGGTGGGTGAGGGGAGAGTATGGGCAGTTGTGAGGAAGCTCGATGGACTCTGTCTGGGATGCAATCAGAAGGACTGGGCAGCCGCCCGTTGCACGACAAAGGGCTCCGCGTCAACATTTTACCTAAGAGTACCCGTGAAACATCCAGTCCGAAGAAGGGTGACATTTTCTACAAACCCAGCGCGTGGCATTGTGTTGGGCCACGGCATCTCCGCTGTGGATGTTGTAACGTTGTGCAATGCCTCGCGCGTTGCAAAATGGCAAAAGCCACGAACGCGACTCGCAATGGGCGGTGCGCAAACACTCTTTGGGGAAGGCAACAAAAGTCTTGGCAGTTTGCAGTACTTATATGTATGTGTACAATGCATAAAAGATTATTACAAGAAGCATAATGCACATAATTGCAAGGCCTAACACTCGCGCTTTGCGTATGCGGTGCCCTGTGATTAAACCGGCGAACGGTAGCGTCGAGCTGTCGGTGAACATAATCACGTCCGTAAGTAACGTACTTTCTTGTGCTTGCTTAGTGACAACTACTGTCACAAACCAGCCACGTAGCACGGCGAGGCCGCCCAGGATCAAAGGGATTATTCAGGGAAGAGACAGATTAGGTTCAATCGCAAGCCAACCATATGGCAATTGAGGGGTAGTTTCCTTGATCACATACACCCGCCAGCGCTTCGACATTAATGCACCAGATCCAAGTGGCGCAGTACCCCAAATCGATGGATATCTGACTATGAGTCGTTTTCGGTGAGCAAGTCGAGGACACTGCTTCACCCGGGCAAAATAGAAAGCTGACGGCTACATCCTTGCCATGTCATGTGGAAGTGCATGATGATCACATCAGATCGCTTAAATGCACTGCCGCTGATATATGAAGCTCTGACCCACGGGCTAAGATCCCGTCCCGCTGCTTTGCGAGCCAGAAGCTGCCATGAGCCACTGTCGGTAGCGACATTTGAATGCATTTTGAGACGACCCCTACAGAATGGAGCAGGATAATAGTGAAATCGTCTTTTTGTAATCCGGAATTGATATGAAGACGCCGACATAGAAATGCAGATAAAAATAAGTGCAGGGGTAATGCGTCATTCCATGGAGCAGGTTATTGGGGCAGTAAGTTCTGCAATTACGAATGGTATGAAAATGCCAACATGGGAAACATGGCTGGAACGTAACAATGCGGATAAATACATGCATTATTCACATTGTGTCAGGAATAAAAGTGCTTTCATAAATGCAAACCCTGGGGGGGCCGTAGTTCAGAGTACATTGGAGCAGAGCAAAGGGATGCTATGGGGTTAGATCCACCAATACAAGATCAACAGGCAATGTGATTTGTTCAATTAATACAACACCAGCATCCAAAGCGTTGATGCAGCAGCAGCCGCGGAACAGGGCGCCCAAGGTGCCGATGGTGAGCGGGGCTGCGTTGAATCTATGGCCACAGGAAGGTGAGAAAGGTGTTCATTGCATGTGGACGGTGTCATGCTGCGTGCCTTCACCGCAGGCGCTGGATGATCTGGGACTAGAACCAAGCGAGAGAAGAAAAAAAGGATGAAAGAAAAGAAAAGCAAAGAAAACGAGGAAAAAAAGAAACTTGAGAAAGGGCATGCCGCAGCCCCGCTCAGCCAACAAACGCGGCTTCGGGAATAGTAGTGCAAGAGCTAGTACTTGTAGTACTGTTCTGTACCAACCTTTCCTGAGAGGGAGTTCCAGGCACGTGAGCATGAAGCCGAGGGTGCCGAAGATGGGGAAAAGAAGGCGGCACAGAATGGATGTGCGACAAGAGGTGCCTTGCATCGATGATTCGATGGCAATGGTCTCTGAGCAGCTCGCGGTTTTGCAGAAAAGCCCCCTTGTAGTGCTGTTGAAAGTCATCGCAGGGAGAGGCGATTCAATTGGATGCATAGACCATACGTGGCAGGGCACACTCCTCGCACTTTCTGTCAAGAATGCTCCCATTCCATCGATATCGTTTGTTCCTTGATATTTGCACGTATGTACTGCATCCTGCTGTGTGCAGGCAAGGGCCACTGTGAAATATCTGTGTTGATTGCTGAGGTGCACTTGATTCATTTCAATGGTTGTGCACTTCCAGAACAAATCCACATGCATAACAGTGAGCCTGCTCACGTGACAGCGATATGATGTTCCTATCTACTGGGTAAACTCTCTCATGGGAACCCTTGGCGAACAGGAGTAAACCTTGCAGCCTTGCCATTTTCGTAGTGTTCAATGTCCTGATTGCATATAGGCTGCTCGGATAAGGTTCGACCTGTGAGATTTGCTGCGTAGTGACCCAGGTGAACACAAATTTGCAGGGTTGGTATCATTTGCCTGTGCATGTTCTGGATGCAGTTATGCGCTTGCTGCCAGTGGGGCTCCCCAAAGCACATCGGTACCCAAGGGTTCCCATCTCCTGAATATAAACTGCCACCAGCGGGACAGGGAAGCAGCCACGGTGCTGAAGCCAAGTGTTCCCCTTTGGTACAGCGACCCTTACCTGGTATACGAAATGCTGGGAGCCAGCACACCTGCATTTCAAAAATCAAAAGAGTTCATCCTGTGTCCACATCTTCTTGTGCAAGACCGCCATTTGACCATGCTGGAGGGTCAAATCCTTTGATTAAATTTGTCACGTAAACATTGACCTTGTACCTTAGAGGCTATGCAGGGCATGAATTCCAGACGAGCGTTGCTGATCGTATTGCAATGCTAGTGGGCTCCCAAAGCTTGTGAGCCTGGACCTTTCGCGTTGCGAATCATAGCTGATGAGGATGTTGCCCTGCTGGGCCAATTCCCGTGCCTCAACAATTGAACATAGACAACAGTGCTACATGGCGAAAAAATGCTAATTGAAATCTGCAAGATGAATCCAGGATTTGATAGGCTTGACAGATCTATCGTTGTGTGGCTGGGACATTGATGATTAGGGGATTGACGTCTGGCAACATTGGCAAATATTGCTACTATCTAACTGAATGTGTCGAATTCCGAATACTATGAAGGCATAGGAGATGTGGGGCCAACTTTTGGCAATTATCCCTTCTTTCGCTTGTGCGAAGGCACGATGAAGCATGAGAAATACAAGGATGAGGCATCTGGAGCGGTTGACGTCCCCCACATGGCATGCTTTGAGTTGCATTGATGCCACCGATGAATGTGTGGGCTGCCTGGAAAGTCTACCATCACACATCTGTGTCTATGTGGGAGATTCCCCTATCGTCACTTCAGCGGGGACTGGCAAGCTAGCACACAGATTGCCGTAGCTGACAGATCTAGTGTGGCCCTTTTTTTGCTCCACATTTGGGTCCCTGCATAATTTTCTGGCATTCACTCCACTGGCAAGTTAGGATGTGTCAAATAGTGCAATTGTCGACGAAGGCATTCACAACTTGGTGGCACTCACGTCAATTGCTGCACTCGAGCTCCATTTTCCACAACGGTTGAACAGCACATAGGATACAGTGCCCGCTGATGCTCTTTCTCGATCTCACTGAGAGTGACACAATTGAGAACCAAGATTGCGTGGGCCCTAATTTTCTCCAGTTTGAAGCAGCAAGTCCCGAATTGAGACTTAACGGATATCGGCGGACTGTGTACTATGCCATGCCCACAAGGCCACGGTGGCTCCAAGGACTGTGTCATTTGAAACATTTTAACTCTGCTTCTGGTGCAACCGAAATGCATGGTGCGTTTCAGCTGGACGTGTTTCCATGTGCAATGGCCTCCAAGGCCGCAACCGAAATGACGCCATGGAACAAGGCGATGTCAACAATAGATACATGCCAACAGCCTGCTCACTTTACCAGACCCACTTGCTGCCCATATCTCTGTGATGTGGTGCGGATACTTTGCAACGCGTTGGCAGGCTTTCATTGGCCAAACGAACTGCTAAATGGGCAATGGTTACTTGGGAACCGCACTTTCCGAGTTCTTTGGGATGCCATTGGCGTCCTCCGTGCACTCGTTGCAGGGACAACGTGCAGGCAAACTGCAAGCAGAGCCGCTGCAACATGGATAACGGCGGGATTGCATCGAATGGAAGGGTTGATGCCATGGTAAAAGGAGGG